TATATATATATATAACTGATCACTGATCTCTGATCCCTCGATGCATTAGACTTCAGTCGACAAACGAAATAGCGTCGATGCCTGGTAAAGCTGTTAACGTCGAACTATCAAGTATCGCAGCATCGAAGGATCAGCTGGATCATTTTATCATTGTAACTTTAACACGAGGCTTTTTTAACGTGTGTTTACAAATGACCATCAGGATCGGTGTTCGTAGGGCATGAAGTAATTTGAATTTCATTGATTTACCACGATATTTCTTATTACGGATTTAATAATGATGCTGATAATAATAATATAATAATAATAATAATAATAAATCATCATTTAGAATTATTGTACATCGATATATTATTTAATATAATCTATTTTATATATTCTATATTAATATAGATCTTTCTATCTGATTCAATTAAATTCTTAAATCTTTATATTCTTTTTCTTTATCACCTGCCGAGTAAATTCTGGCAACACGAGCGAGAAACACTTATTTAACGAGGAAAGAAAAAAACATACACCACCGGAACGTGTGTCGTCACTTTTACATATTCTTCTTTTTCATTTCTTCTTCTTCTTCTTCATTTAATTTCCGCACACGCCGTGTTCGAGACTATCACCGGAGAACGTTACTACCGCGGGGAACCCTTGAGGTTCATGAAAAAAAAAAAAAGAAAAAAACAGAAAAAAGAAATCATACCGAAGGAAAAAACGAGAGCAAAAAAGCAAAATATACAAGAAGGAAAGGAAGAATACAGTGTAACACACTCGACCACATATCATCGATTCTCCCGCTCTCGACACGGCGCCTGTGTACCGTTAAAAACATTGTGGAATTGACTTGAACATTCTCTCCCTATACGAACAATTACCGAACCCTTCGGTAATCACGCGATTAAATCACATGCCGTGCGCGTGATTACAAAGAAATTTACGGTGCTAAAAAAGGACTAGAAGCTACATTAGAATTAATAAAAACCATGAACTAAACGTTAAGACGAGCCTACGTAACGCGTTTGTAAAGAAAACATCTGCCCCCCTCCCCCATTCCCCCGTCCCGCCGACGATTTTTTGTACTTTTTTGATTACGGTTCATTATATCTGGCCAAGCCATTAATCTTTATCCGTTCGCGAATATAGTACGTACACCCCAAACGGGTTGGTAATCTTGGCGCTTAAATAGTACTACTTGTTTCTCCGCCCCCGTACGTCATCCTAGTTTTTCTTTTCTTTCTTTTATAAAAGTTCTAGTACTCCTACGATCGCGGTGGCTACACCGTGCACGGTTCGATCCACCTGCAGAACGTTGCACCTACTTTGTATTTTGCCTTTTCTTCTATGCGTTTTTTTTTTACTGTCGCGCAGAAAAGAAAAAAAAAAGTACAGCTTAACCGATACTTCCGTTATTGTTCCACTAATATACATCGGAAGTGGCCGTAAATAAACGAGACCGCATGTCCCTTGTGTTACAGAAAAGTGTCGTTGTAATTTCGCGTTTTATGCTAATTAACATAGCTCAACGATAACAACTGACTCAAAGACGATTTACAGAATGGTTTCCGGCGGCCCTTACTTGCTATTTCTTTTTTTTTTGTTTTTTTTTTGTTGAAATCACATGGTCTGTACCCCGAAGCCTCCGAGTACTTGAACAGACAATGAGTAGGGACCGAGAATCCTTTTTATACAATTTCTTAGGATTATGCCCGTTCAGCGAACAGAAACATATCTCTTTCACGATTAACAAGCGAGAATTCTTTTATCCCTAATTCCTTCACCGCGAGTTACAATGTGTGTGCATCAACGTACTTCCTCTCCCTATCACCCCCCCCCCCTCTCTCGCGTAAATTCTTATGTCTTAGTTGCAAAAGGAAACACAAGTCAATTGCGAATGTATCGGTTGTATACTAATTTAATGTCTAACGTATGTTTTTTTTCACTCTATACTTGAACTGTCAACGTGGATTGCAAATTCAAAACCGGTAGTGATTCATGCCATTACCTCTTAACAGTATTTAATATAACGTTTTTCGTTATAAACATGTTACGAAAATTAATAGTAAATATCTTCTATATAGTACAGAGCCGTGTGTTTGTTTTTTCTTTTTCTTTTTTTTCTTTCTTTGCAACGCATCCGTCTTATCAAATAGGAACTAACGCGAAGAATCAAAGCACTTTCAGCCGTAACAAAATTACATTCGTTAACTTACTGTTCGTACTCGAAATCATAATTTGGCAAAATAACGGGTTACCTGTCACGCATTCCGATTGGTACTTCCGACGATTAATAATAAATTAATACAACGAATACTCTTCGTAAACATCCGATATAATTAATAGTACGAATCAATAAGAATTCGGGTGATCAGCGGTTCATTGACCAATAGTAATGTATAAAAATTATGCAGAATTAATACATCGCCGATTAATATACGAGTGTATCGTAAACGTCTGTACAGTTTTTCTTTCTTTCTTTTTTTTTCCCGCTGTGTTCTGGAAACTACGGATCTAAGAGATCTTGCGTTGTGATTGCAGCCCCAACGAAATTATGGAGAAAAGTCTTCTCGTGTGAATTTAGTTAACTTAACCGATTACACCTAGTTATTCGTCTTCCGTGTCACCGTCGCTACTATAATCTTGCAGAACGGGTGGTCTCAGGAAAGGTGCATTGTTCGTTTGACTATAATATTCAATAATCACACAGTCAAGTTCAACGAGTTAAACACCGTGATTGTATTAGTAAAATTGAATTTGATAAATAACTGTATTTCACTTACGCCAGTCTTCGATAATGATTCAACCATTCCTCCAACATTTGTGCTACAAGTAAAGGTCTCTTGTGAAGTTTTTGTTGCGCAACAAGTACACCACTCTCGGTCCTACACACGTCGAGCCATTCCTTTAAGATAGACTCTTCCCGGCCTATTTCCTCCGGACTCAGGAAATGTATTGGTAGCAGTTTGTGTTCACGGTCCATCAACGGCATAAACGTGGTCTGCATTTGTATTTGCAATTGCTGAAGCGGACTGTTGCCACCACCTAAACCTACACCACCGTGAGATGAGAGAGGTGGTATTCTAGATGACGCGTATGGTTCAATAGGTACTAAAGCTGTGAAATGACCACGGGTATAACCCAAAGCAATGGGCGATCGAATACAAAATGAAGGTTCCCATAAAAGCGGAAGGTAAACACCCTCGAATCTTGCGTAACCTAGATGAAAATAGTTTAATTATGTAATAGAATTTTTGTACAATGACCTGTTGCACAGACGCAAAGGACAGAATTTATGCGTGAAGTTACCTATGTCTTCACCCCGGAAACTTTTAACATATTTAACCCCATATACAATAATCGGTCGTCTTAAAATATGGGCAAGAGCGAATACATGTAATTGTTCCAAGGCGCTTCCTGGCTGTGCAGCTGTCGCCAATAAACTTTCCCAATCCTCTTGCCATTGTGTCTCTTCTAATGTAAAATCCAACATTCTGGACGCTTGAGATGCTTCGTACTCTCTCCATCGAGGATAAAAACTGGAGTAACAAGAGACAAAATTAATTAATCTACTGTTAACACGTTACGTAGCTTCTTCGTGTAAAGGAAGGAGAACTTACAATTGACCAGCTTGTTGTAAGGAATCTGCAAGAGCTCTCCTTAAAGCATTATCTCGATCGAAAACACCCCAGGTAGCTTGCATTGCGGAATCTAGTAAACAATCTCCGGCAGATCTATTCCAAAGCGCGTGTAAACGACTTCCTAAACGCTCAGTAATTTCTAAAGACCAATTCAACGCTGGCGGTTCTCCACAACCACCTTCTAATTGCTGTTGAGCTTCTTTATCTAATAACTCCTCCAACAGTTGCTCTTGCACGATACTCGGTAAATCTTCTACCTAACAATTAATTTTACGCTTGCATTTAATTGCAACTCATATATAGCATAGCATTACGCAAAGAAATTGATATTTTTAATAAATTATAATACTCCAAAAAAGTATCATAATATTATAATAACCTCAGCAGGCAAAGCGAACGTAGCTGTATCAGTGACAAAATAACACGGAAAAGAACCCTTGCATAGCCGGATACTATTAGTGACGTGTCTGCGTATCTGACCAGCCAAATCTGGCGCAACGTAACTCGGTACCCTTTTCACTCCAGAACCAGAACCTTCAATTTGCGATAATAATGTTGCTAGAATATCTTCTCTTTGAAACCTGTTAAAGATATACACAAACTGAATAAGGAATACTTTGAAAGTTGTCTTTTTCTGACACAATAACATTATACACGGCAGAACGTACTACCACATTTATTAAACTAAATGTGTAACGAACAAGTTGAAAAATGACCACAGAATATACTGGGTGTCCCACGCGTCGTCACGGAATTTCAAAACTTTGCGAAAAAATGTATGAGACGAAACTTGACAAAAGTGTTAGACAAAAGAAAAGTCCTGAAATTTCATGACGACACTTACTTGGGACACCCTGTATATGCTCATACAAATATACAGAATGTTAATGAAAATGTAAGATATTATTACTGCGTGGATTCTACATGGCAAACCAAGACGAAAATCAAGAATAAACGAAATTGGGTTAAATGCTCCGTTCCAGAGTTATTAATTGTTGAAAATACAGATAAAAAAGTCTGCCGAACGCGCGCTCACAGTAGTCTAAATCGTCGCGTCAGACGTTTTTCAGCCGTACTTGCAACAATTAATAATTCGGAAACGAAGCCTGAAATGCAATTTCGTCCTTCTTGATTTTCGTCATAATTTGGCATGTAGAATCCATTCTGTGAAAGTGTCCCACATTTTCATTAACATCCTATATAAAATAAACAAAAGTAAATTTAAGTAAATCTTAATGTAAAAAAATTGTTTTCCACTGACCTAATTGCTAAATGTACTAGAGTGTGCCCAACGTCGAACGCACTACTTCTGTTTAAAAGCAAAACTTCTGAATGCGTCAACTGTCGAGCAGGATCACCACCGCCTGTCAAATAAGCCTCGACGGGCGCATTGTCACCTTCCACAATACCAAGACATGCATTCAACCAGCACCAATCAGCGTGACGCCTTAATTGCTTTAATCTACGTTCATAGTCACAATTATTAGGAGACTGAGGAAAAAGTGTGCGATTACCTTCGTCCTATAGCCATATTCTCGTCCCTCTGATTTTGATGAATATATGGTGCATGAGGTGGAGAAGGCAAACTGCGCTGACTGTGATCTCTTTCCGGACTTGGCAAAATAACACCCACATTATTGGTACTTTTGTCTCTTCTGTCTTTTTCTTTCGGATTACCACACATTACACATTTTGTAGCCTTCGGCCAATTCTCGTAAGTACATACAAAACAAGACCATTTCTCAGGATGTAAGTTAGCTTGTAAATTGTAATATTTTTCTGGATGTAAGTTTATCGGAGGAGGATTAGATCCTGAATTTGGTGGTGGATCGCCTAGCCTAAGCGGCGCTAGATGTTCGTGCAAGTTTGAAGCTATAGAGTGTATCGATTGATTGAAACCAATAGATTTTCTATTCCCACACTGAACACAACGTGTGGTATTTTGGTAATTAAGATAGGTACACATTGCACAGGACCACTTTCCACCCGATGGTACATTCTGACTATAATTCTGAGGACTAAACTTATAAGAATCCGTAGGACTTAAATGAGTTACTGGACCAGATGCAACATTTGATCCAGATCTTTGTGGACTTGGATCCCTTAGACGGTAGATATCCTCTCCTAATAAAGGCTTGGCACTTCTGCACATTGTGCATTTCAAAGATGATGGCCAATTTTCATATGTACAATATTCACAGGTCCATTTTGACTCTTGCTCTTCAAGCCTGTTACTCATTTTCTCTGTAGACCCTTTGTCGTGTAAATTCTATTGTCTCTAATACGCAGACAGGTTAGTATTGACACTTGAATGAAATGTATTTGTAAACCATAAATGTGAAGCAAAAGTTACATTAGATATCTTGTCAGGTTGTTATTGTTCCTTATAATAATAGAATTTTGCATACTTTCTGGTGTGAAGGTAATTTCCATTAACATGAGTGATATTATTCATTAGTCATAGAACGAAGTTCATGTCATGTGGTAAGCATGTCCATTGGATATAAGAAAATAAAAGCTGCCACTGTAATGCAACTGTAGACAGCTACCAAAATCTGCAAAAAAAAAAAAAGAAAAGGTATGAATTCAATTTAAAAGAAAGTATCTGTATAAACAATTACACATGTATTGATTAAATGAAAAAAAAGCAAATGTTATCTTTGTTAACATAGATATAATTCCGTAATGTAGACAAAAAGATTTACATTAGCAAACAATAAATTACTAATAATTCATTAAAAAGTACTAGTTCATTTATATCAAATTTTAATCACACATATAAATAACATAGCATAAATATCATGACTGTATTCAGTCTTAATGATGGGATTCAAGACGACTTAAGATATCCTGAATTAAAAGCCTAAAACTCAAAAACTCTTAAAATGTTTTGCAAGAGATTCCCGCTGAATAGTCTTATACAATCTTATGTAATTTTATGGTGTCTTAGAAGTTGCATGGAAGTCTTGAAAGTCCTGAAGATCATGAAATTTTCTGGTTTTGAATAATTGTTCCTTTGTTTTAATTTTTATCTTTTAATCTACTTCTTCTTTAACATAAAATACTTCCCTTTAGTAAAAATATCCTTTTGGATGCAATAAAAGTTGCAGTTACCCATAAAACCATATTAACAAAGCACAATGACAGCAAATATCTACTAATACTTTTGCACTCCAATATATTAATACATCAAAATACCTATAGATATAGATACGAGTTAAATAACATTAACTTGTATTCTACACTTATACTTTGTTCTCAGTTAAATAGACTACATATTTTGCTTTCAAGACTTCCAAAGGGCTTCAAAACTATTTCAAGCTCAAAACAATCTCAAACTGTCTTGAAGCTCCATCTTCTTGATTTGGTCAAAACATTTGCAAGGCAACGTCTTGGAGTCCCATCGCTAACGTGAAGGATCGTGTCTAGAGAAGCATAAGAGAAAATTCTTCGACGAGACGAAGCGTTTCGAGAACGAAAACGCGGCAAACTGTAACAGAGGTTTGAAATGTGACTGACCTCTAGCGCTTTTATGTCGCACAAGCGTCACGTCAAGGAGAAATGTGGACACGATTTACGGGACAAAGCAAGCCTCGTACGGCTGACAGATCGGAGGAGGGGCTACCTGGCAATAGTTGAGCCTGGTGTCCCGAAAATTGTTGTCACGCGCAAATAAGCTCCATCGAAGTACGATGCGTCGGCCGATCGTAGCGAAACTGACGTGAAGGACCAGAGACGTGGATCAGTAGCAGAAATCACGCTCTACGGCCAGCGACCCACTGTAATCGCATTTAAACAAGAGAGAGGAAGGTTAAGGCACAGCTGCGAAATCAATTTTCGCGAGGACGAAAGCCCGCGCCTTCTCTCCTCGCGTTGGAATCGAAGTAATCTTCTTCCCCACCGACGAAGACCCGAGGCACGTCACTCGTCGAACGGGTGAAACGCGACGAACGAAAACGAGACAAGAAACCTCTCTCTCTGCACTCACTCACTCCTTGCTAAACGGACGCACGGTATCCCTTCTGGCTGCACTTTGTGCCTTTTTCCCTTCTACGAGTCCAATGTAGTCATGATGTTTTCCTTCGAACTGCCATGCAAAGCTGCGGACTTCGCTGCGAAAGTAGGTTTTGACAATCATCCGCAAACAGATACCAGTGCTACCAACGTGACGCGACGATGACGTTCGTAACTTCCCCGTTAGATGGCTAGAAATAACAGTTAATTCTCGCTGGTGCTAGGCAGGACTTCATTTTTCAAAACGCTTCACATTCAAATTAATTTCCTCTGAAAACTGAATTATTATTTCAATCATCCGGAAATCAAACTGATTTCGTATATCACGCAAGAAATAGAGAAAATTGATAATACTATTTAACTTAATATATTAGATTGAACTATGTAAGATTATATTTACCACATTTGAAAAAATGAATTTTTCCAAAAAAAATCGTGACATTTATCCTAAGCCAGTTAACAAATAAGTAGTAGGTGTCCATTAATAGTAAAGGAAATTTAAAGAATAGATTAAAAAAAGAAATATAAGACTTCGTTGCTAGAATAACAATTTCCGAAATTTTTAGATCACTTGAACCTTTTTTATATGTATGCGCATGCTATTATCCAGTTAACAATAACCGATTTATCCATGTCCTCGAATAATAACCAAGCAATCGGTTACTAGTCATTTAATCGGATGTTCTAGGACATGATAAATCCGGTTATATCAAGAACACTAATTCAAGTGTCTCGTCTTCGACATAACATATACATATACTCTGCTACATAATAAGTCTTAAGGGGATATACATGTCACCTTAGACCTTCAACAAATTTTAATTCTTCCTCTAGTACTGATTTTCAAAGTACATAGTCTTATAATTGTGATACAAAAAATTTTATATTTAGTAATTCAAACTAATCATATAATCGAATAATTTTATGGGAGCGTGTGCTCCTATTCGGGCGGTATTTTAAGTTGTTACACCCTATAATTTGAGTATGTACCAGCATATTCTATTACATAACAATTTATTGGAATACTACGATATGTAATTATTGGACGCGAACTGATATATCCTCTAATGAAGTCTACTGTAATCAGAAAAATGTCAACAAACCACTTAAGATTATTAAAAATGAAGTGTCATCTTCGTCTTACTCGTTAAAAGAATACTATCATTGAAATGATCCAAATATTGAACGAGATTAAAAATCTGTAGGAAATTACTTCAAAATAATAGTATCAGTGGGACGGTAACAATTTTGTAGACAATACCTCTTGAACTTACCGCTAGGCGACTATGGAGAGCATATAATTCTCGAAAGATCTCTGATAGTGCCTAATTCCATTAAATAGAATGACCGTAAAATTTGAATATTCCCGCGTTTAATTTAAGTGACGATTCTAACCACATAGTGGATCTTCCATATAAAAATCCCTTGTCTCTGGGTCTCAACTTCTAAACTTAATTTCAGTCGCTATAGTCACCGAGTTCATGAAAAGTGTTGTATATAGTTACGTCACGCGATCTTGTCTTAACCATAACTTGTTCATTCTTCTAAATTAGTTTGTCCTTGAAGGTGGTGAGAATTCTCATACGAACCATCTTCACCGTAGAAATGTACGAGAACGATCGAGCTTTCTCAGCCGCTTTCATATTATGATCACACCGATTGTCCTATATCCGCTTCCGGTTTTTAAGATGCACTACCACGCACGCACTTCTCTTTATCTCGTCCTTGACACCGTGATATACCGGATTTCGACAGTATTCGGCTATCCATGCCCGAGAATATGTAATTTGAAAACTTTGCAGGTGTTCCTTTAGTACGTTGATTAAGAGATATGCAAATTGTTCACTTAAGAACTACTCGTTCACACGACGTACACGGGAAGCTATTTTTTATTTATAAATATCTCGGGCCGCGAGCCAAGTGGGACTTAGCCTAGACATTTATCCTTGACATTTGATTGACTAAGATTGTCACCATGCGTGAAATACATCTAACTCAGAAGAAAACTATTTTTTCTTTTTAAAGTTTACATACCCGCCTCAAGAAGTCTTGTGTTTTCATAGATCGTTTGCTGAGGACCAATGACGTCACGGTGATCAGTTGGAAGTTGGAAGTTGGAAGTTGGAAGTTGGAAGCCAATGTTACTGATTACGGCGGGTCCTTCGTGACATGCACGATTTTCTTTCGGTACATCTACACTCGAAATTTGTATATATCAAGAAACGTCAAAATGATTAATACAAATATCACGATATTGTACGGCAGTGAAACCGGCACTGCACAAGACGTAGCTGAACAAATTTGGAAAAGTGCCAAAAGGTTTTGTTATTGTCCTTTCTCTATTTTGTATACAGAATGTTTGTGTTGAAAAAGCAGACTCTTTTTATTTTATATTTGATTAAATACTCAATACATGACCTAATTGTATTATTAACATTATTTCAGAAAAAGTTTACATAGTTCTGTCTGTTCCATGAATGACTATGACATTCAAAGTATTGATTCAGAAAAGGTGATAATATTTGTAGTGGCAACTACAGGACAGGGAGATCCTCCTACTAATATGAAACAATTTTGGAGACTTCTGTTAAAAAAGAATCTGCCGAAAACTTTACTAGCTAATGTACAGTATGGAATGTTAGGTTTAGGTGATAGTTCCTATCAAAAATTTAATTTTGCTGCAAAGAAATTGAACAAACGGTTGATGCAATTAGGTGCAAAGGAATTATTGCCTATTGGGCTGGCAGATGATCAACACGACTTAGGAATAGATGCTGTTGTTGACCCTTGGCTGCAAGAATTTTGGATTAAGATTATAGATGCATTTCAAATTCATACAACAAATTTGGTTAATGATCAAGATAAAATAATTGAAAGATTCAGTATTTCTGAAATAAATACAAACTCTATAAATAATGAGTATTGCTTAGAGAATAATATTTATATGAAAGAAGTACATACAAATGATGAAATGAAAGTGGGTACAATAATCGAAAATATAAAAACCACAACTGAAGATCACTTTCAAGATGTCAGATTAATTAAACTAAAATCAGATAATATTAATTATCAAGCTGGGGATGTAGTATATGTTAGACCAAAGAATTCTAACCAACAGATTGACAAATTTTTTAATGTATTGAGTAGTAATAATGTGCAGTTAGATCCAGATATGAGAATTCAAGTATCTGAAAAGGAAGTTAAAGTACCTGCTGTTTTAAAGCAAACTTTAACTCTACGGCAAATTGTAGAACAATATTGGGACCTGAATTTCAGACCCAGAAGATCGACAATGCAAATATTGTCTTACATCAGTGAAAATGAATTAGAAAAGGAAAAATTTCATGAGTTTACAATGGCGAGTGGTCAAGAGGAACTGTACAATTATATCAATAGACCAAGAAGGAATATTCTAGAATTATTAGCAGACTTTCCTCATACAACTAGCAAATTGAATATAAGACTGTTATTTGAAATTATGTCTCCCATAAAGCCTCGTGCCTTTAGCATAGCATCAAGTTCAAGGGTCACTGAAAATGAAATTCATTTGTTAGTAGCTGTAGTAAAGTATAAAACTAAATTGTTAGAACCACGATATGGTTTATGCTCCAACTGGTTGGCTAGTTTAGAAAAGGGAGAAGAAATAATATTTTGGATACAGAAAGGGACTTTCAAGTTTGCATATGATAAACCAATGATACTCATTGGGCCTGGAACTGGTGTTGCACCATTTCGTTCTGTACTACTAGATAAATCTGCACTGTATGATGATCTGAGCAACTGTGTCCTCTTTTTTGGATGTAGAAGTAAAAAGAAGGATTATCATTGTAAAAATGATTTCGAATATTTATCACAAAAGCTGCATTTAAATTTATTTTGTGCATTTTCTAGAGATCAAGAACATAAAATGTAAGCTACCTTTTTAAAATTTTAGATATTATTGCATAATTACATTTTATATAACTTCGTTTGTCAATATTTCAGATATGTACAACATGTTATAAGAGATCAAAAACACTTATGTTGGGATTTCCTTAACAGTAGTGGTAATATTTATTTAGCAGGTAGCTCTAAAAATATGCCAAACTGTGTTCGCGAAGAATTCGTAAATCTAGTGAAAGAAAAAGCAGAATTGACTGAAGAAGAAGCAACAAACTTTATTCAACGACTGGAAAATGAAAATCGATATCAAGTTGAAACATGGGGTTAATAAATACTTTTATCATGAATTGTATATAATGTGGTGCTGTTGTAACGTATTAAAATCTATAAATGTCACAAAATGTATATTAGCTAGATGTACTATGTATTTTTCAATTAAGTGCTACCAAAAAGTGGTACATTAAGGAAAAAATATAAGACAATTATTAATCTGTATTATGTTTCGCTTGGAAACAAACTGGGATTATGTTAAAACAAGAATAACGGCTTTAAAGCTTTCGATGTAATTTAAGCGAGATTTCGAATACTAGAAACTAAAAATTTAATTTGTTGATACCTGCAATGAAGTCCCTTTTTTCAAATAACTTTCTTTGAGCTGTTCTTTTTTTTTTAAAGATTCTGTAATCGATTAAATACAAGTTTTAAATTATCGTTTATGAGGCGCTTACACATAATTAAGTAAAAAAATAAAAAATTCTGAACATACTGTAGATAAAAAAAGCATTTACAACTTTTAGACCTTTTACAATAAATATATTGAACAGAAAGAAAAGAAGTAAAAAAGTTTTAAATAGCGAGTGTATGCAACTACTTATTTTGCTCGCTATCAAACACTGTTTGAATAGTATCGCTCATAACGATTTAAGATTTTTCCGTTGCCTTTCAATAGACCGATAATGAGTATCTCTGAACTAATAGATATATATTGCACGTAACTATACCTTTCGTCTTTAATGACCGACAAGAAAGTGTTAGCTATCATGCTATTGCAAAATTCTACATACACCGTCTAAGATACCAGTTTAAACGTGTCGAACAAAGAGCAATAATTGCTCTATATAAATTACATCAGTTGCATTTAGAATGCAAGCTTTTTCTCCATCTCTCATTTGAATATGGATAGAAGCGCGCGCGTGCGTAACGTCTTGGGACTATTTAGTTTGTAGATCTTCGCGCAGCGTCTGGCAGCGTTGAGCTAACTCAACTCGTCGAACTCTAACCTGCTCTAACCCTGTCTTATCTTAACCTATAAAAATAAAGCAGAAACATGGTACGTCGTGCACGTTGGGGAACAGTTCTATTCATAACTCCACGCCTTAACCATTGGATCATGCAGTGATACCATAAGAGGTTCTTGCGAAAACATTTTCTCCAAAGGAGATCGAAAACTCCGTGGCTGGGAGGTCATTACAAATGTTGATTAAATAACTATTCGAAACCAACTATCTCAACGATAACATTAAGGTTTAGTAACGTCCGTCCGCTAAAAAAGGGAGGCCACGTTTACACGGGACGTTCACGATAATTTTACCGTAGTCTGGTTGACACGTGAAATGCATTAACCTACGACACAGTACGATCTTTAATTCGATTCAAGTTTAAAAACTGCACGGAAAAATGGCGGGTAGTTATACGAAGAAGGAATTCGGCGTGGGCAGCGAGGAACAAACATTGTTAAAAGATTTAAATGGGACCCGCATCGTTCCCGCGAAAGGTATACAATATTCTCCGTCTTTATCGCATTTTTTTCTTCTCTTCCGCCGTACCGAACTTCAATTGCTTCAGCCCCGCTTCCACGTTTCAAATGTCGGGGCATCTACCCTTCCTGGAACTGTTTTTTCTTTCTTTTTTTATTTTCACTACAAATGCTTGGCCAAACCGGTCTCTTAGTACAGAAGATTCACATAGCACACCTTCTTGAATGCTAATCCTCAAGCATTTCCGTGTGTAACATTGATTTGTGCTTCATCCAGCATCCCTCTTGCAAATATCTGTGTTTAGGTGATATTTATTATGAAATGTTAAGTATTGCTTTCAATAATAAGAAATATTGTTATACTGTTTGTAAAAAAAACAATATTAAAATTGCTTGGCATATGTCAGGCTTCATTTTTTTAGTTCAATTGAGTGCTCTTCATGATTTCAATTAAGAATATCATAGCATTTATCAAAAAATCAGAGTAGATATAATTGATTTCTTCAAACAATTTTAAGTCCCTTTAAGAGACTTAATATCTAATCTTAAGTATTTTGTGTTCAGATAGTTTTATCTTTATATAGACATTTGTATTTCTATAATAGGTATTTATTACTTAAAACATATTCAAACACAGCAAAGTAAAAGATTACAAAAGAAAAAAATGTATATTTTTCCTCATTAATTTATTAACACAAACAAAAATATTTTACACATATATAATAAGTAATATAACAAACATGAAATTATATGTAAGAAATGAGTACATTAAACAGTATTTCTTTAGAAAACTTCAAATACTTCTAAAAATAACTTGAGCACAATTGTGTATTCTTCCATGTTAATAATTTTGTATCATAGCATACTATTAATGGAAATATCTTCTACGGTGTAGCTCATATGTCTGAGTATCTTGTTTCATATCGGAAGTTAGATTTTGCTGATACAAATATAAGTGAGAAGTTAGTATATATATAATTGTATCAAAAGGTGGAGTACATATACTATATTAGTTTAAAATTTTTTAGCATTATCATTGCCATATTTATCATTATTGATTAATTAAAATTATAATTGCATTCATAATTTTATAGTATAATATGCTTAGTTATGTAATATGTCATTTTGTATGTAATATCATTACATTGTATTATATATTTACAACATGATGTTGTGTGTGTTATACAGGAATATAATTTAGATCCAAGTGGAAAACAAGTAAAATAAACTTAGTATGAATGTCTTCTCCACAGGTTGCATTAAATCTTCCTATAATACTTTTAGAGTTCACATTCCAACTGGTAATTAATGCTTCATTTCTTTTAAAGTGTAAACATTGTGTTTGTGCCGTCGAAGCAGAATGTGTGAATACATGTTTCTTTTCTTTACATTGTGTAGATGTGAGATGCGAGTATGAAATCGTATATGTATATATAATGTATGCATTAAGTATTCGTGTCATCTTCATTGAATTAATAAATTGCTTTAAATTGGACCACCATTAAAGAGTTCTTAAGGTAGTGCTAACTACTACAGCATTGAATTTGTGCATGTATTGTGAGAATTGTACTGAGAATTGGATCTTTTATCATAGGTACTGAACCTGTTCGTCTTTCCCCAGGCTGGGAAGGTACAGGTAGACCTGATGATGAGTTGAATTTCAAAGGAGTCACGATGGATCAAGCAGATCTTGAATTAAATCCTCCCAGAGATAGGTACATGCAACTGTATGCTTTTTAAATATGTTTTTCTATTTTCACCTATTTGTGGTAACATATTTATATCTCTACGTTTAGATTAAACGTTGTATTCTGTATAATGGTACTACATGGAATTGGTGCCTTGATGCCATGGAATATGTTTATAACAGCAAAAGATGTAAGAATTTAATTGGTAACGTTTAGAATACACTTAATTCTGTTTTTACACGATACATACGCCCCCGAAAAATCTGTGTACAAAAAAACATGTAAAGAAAGATACCATGCATATGGAAAAATGGGGTATTATTTTCAGACCATAAAAACTAATAAAAATAATGCAATGTATCGATTAAAAGCTTTTTCTTTAATTGAGTGTAATTTCCTAGAAAAATAAATAGGAATACTTTTTCTTGAAATTAAAATTAAATTAAGATTTTTAAAAATAAAATTAAGTGTATTTAATTTTTAATGTAAAAGCGATCACACATTTACAGTCTACTCGATTGTTCTTTTAGTATTTTGTTAACTACAAATTATCTAAGGAGTACACAGACATCAATACAGATTATGCAAATAATTTTCTTGCATACTTAGGATTTGCGGCGCAAATACCGAATTTACTCTTTAATTGGTTGAATGTATTTATACAATTTGGGTATGTATATTATCAATAATATGAATATCATGTTTTCTAATTATACTTTTTAGTATTTCTAACGAATTCGCAGTCTGATATCCTTACCATTGTACAGAGTAGTACTATTTCTTCAGAAGTTTGATATGTATCTAACTGTTTTAGTGGCAATTTGACAACACGTATAGTATGGGGCATCTTCGTACAAGTTTTAATATTTGTATGTACTGTTATTTTGGCAATGACTGATAGTTCTGGTTGGCCTGGTGTCTTTTTCTGGATTACCATGGCTTCTGTTATTATATTAAACAGTAAGATGTAAAACATTTATTTTCCTAAAAAGTAGAAAGAAAGTCATACATGCACTTTTTTTAAGTTACAGTTTGTGAATAGTGTATCTAAGTTTTCTTTTTTTTTAATATATAATCTATTATTTTCTATTATCTAATCGTGTCTAGCTGCGCATTACCAAATTTTTAAAACTCTTTTCAGCTGCTACTGGAATTTACCAAAACTCTGTGTTTGGTATGGTTGCAAAGTTACCCACAAAGTATACAGGAGCTGTTGTTTTAGGCGCAGTAAGTACAGATACCCATAATTTCGTGACAAAAAATATACAATGATTTATGCAGATATATTACTCTCGTACTAATTTCAGAATCTAAGCGGAGCATTTACAGCCATAATTAGCTTTATTGCTCAATATATGGCACCAAATGCTCGAACTGCTGCAATATACTACTTTATAACAGCTCTCTTTGTTCTTTTGGCATGCTTTGACACTTACTTTGCACTGCCGATAAATGTAAGATTTATATTCTTTAATAAGCTAATCTTTCTTATGTAACAATATTAATTCTTATATTTTGTAGAGATTTTATCGATACCAGGAATTATTATATCAGAAAGATTTAAATAAAAGACAATTAGAAAATTGCGCAAGAGGAAAGCAAAATACACCACCTTATTGGAAAATATTTAAACAATGTTTTCCTCAATGCTTCAACACATTCTTTGTATTATTCGTGACTCTTTCTTTGTTTCCATCTGTTCAGTCCGACATAAAAGCTTCAGATCCGAATTTTATAGTTTCGGAAGATTATTATAGTACTATTATGTGTTTCCTCACCTTTAACATTACTGCCTTAATTGGTAGTTCTATCGCGTCATTAGTTCAATGGGTGAGTAACCTTCTTTTACTCACAAAATCTGTAACAAATAATAATTGTACGAAATAATTTGCTAATTCCCCATTTCTCTCTCTTTCTCTACAGCCTAGTAAAAAATACTTGGTAATCCCAGTTGTTTTACGTATTTTGTACATACCATTGTTTTTAATGTGTAACTACAGACCAAAAGATGTTACAAGAGTATTACCAGTGTATATTAACAATGATTGGGTTTATTTCTTAATTTCTGTAACAATGGGTATAACTAGCGGTTACTTTTCATCGCTGTCCATGATGTACTGTCCCAGGTGAGGCTTTTATTATATTATTAACAGAAGAAAAAATATATTTTTTTAATCTTATTAAGAATTCGTAATTGCATATTCTAATTTCAGAATGGTAAATTCGGAACATACTGCGACAGCTGGTATGTTTGCTGCAGCGTCGTTAATTACAGGAATTTTTACTGGATTATTGTTTTGTATGGTGATGCCAAGTTTGATAGCAAATCTATCATTTTAATCACCGCACGAATCGATTTAAGACATTTCTAAAATAATAAAATGAAAAAAGGAAAGACCGTAAAAAAAGGAATGAAATCAGAATTCACTGACGCATAGTACAATCTAATTTTGACATTATACGGTTGATGTTTTAAAGAGAAAACCAATTCGTATAGATTTCGCATCATTGCAATAGATAAAACTGAGAATGAATTTTATTGAATTTTATAACTGTGAGAGTTTGTGCGGAACGTATTTAATTTTATTTTATTGATTCTCATTTCAATTAGTGGAATGTGCTGTGTTTATAAATGAGGAAGAGGGACAAAGGGCAAGAAAGTATCAGTGTTAAACAAGAGATGTAAAGATTACTTGAAATTATTTACATCGAATTGTAAAAAAAAATAACATTTCACGATTGACTATTTCAGATCTGGAACAGAAGAAAATATAATCCATTACATGAAATTCATATTAATGATCTTAATGTTCAATCACTGCCCTGATGGAACTATTACTACTATGTAAAATTGGACCAATAAGCCTTACTAACCACGTATTAGTAGGTTTTTCAGATGTATAATTTAATTCAGAGCCGCTAAAATAAGCACATCAAAGATTTGTATATTTAATAATTGTTACTTACATAGACCAAATTTAAGATAAGACTGTGCTTTCTTAACTTTTTCGTATTAAAAATACAAGCGATTCAGATTAAAGCTGCATATCATTTGAATCACAAGGAAGGTAAATGACGAATCATTGTCTTCATTGCTGACTGCTCAGTAACTGTGCTGACGAATTTAAAGTATTACAATATTGTGAAATCTCGCATATGCATTTTAATAAGCATGTTTGAATATTGTTTTTATTAACGTTCATACAAGTTTTACACAGATCAATTAATGTTTCCCAAGGTACGATACCTAATTTTATAATAATTTATATAGTTGTGTCCTTACTTTGTAGTGATTAACAGGTTGTATTAACTTTATAAATGTTATTCTAGAACATAATTTTTGTGTTTTCACATTAAGTTTTGATCACAATTAACCATGACATCTACAAATCACCAGAGAATTAATGTTTATCATTTCAAGCAACGTACAATTCACAAACGCTTATGGGAAGATCTGATTGTTATTAGTCTTGATATCAAGCATGACAATAAAACGTCTGCTCCATTTGATAGAAATGTTATTTTATACATTCTCGTGATTACTCATATTTGTTTTTTTGCATTTAAATACAATATATAAAAAATAGTGTACACTACGATATGCTTATTATATACTTCTCTTTAATCGATATCCTGTGCATTAAAAACCGACTAAGACAGTATGCATGAGTGAACGGTGACGTGGAAACTGAAAACGTATGGTATGTTACAAGCTCAATGAAACTCTACTATGAAACTTTCTGTACATTTACGAGGTACATTGTATTTGTTAACATATATGACTACTGAATGAATGGCTCAAAGATGTAAAACACTACGTACTTTCTATTGATCGGTACGTCTTTGTTCATATAATTTGTAAATGATGTATACTATTTTATTATTTTATTTATGTAGGTATGTTTAGTTTGAATGCATTTTTATTTGGTTAATAAGAACACGCTCAAAATTAATTCAAGTCAAGAATAATTCTTGTTGAAGTTTACTAAATGTATCATATTGTAAATTATTTTTGTTACAAAACAAATCAAGAAAAAGTATACATCATTGAATGTGAACTTTTATTCCAGTACAATCAACGGAATTTGTAAATACTGTCTATGTGCTTCCACATGTTACAACATGTGACGATTAAAAATTTGCATTTTTATTATATACCGTAATTTGTAAGCTATAATGTTTCACTATTTATAATACTATTTGTCATCTAATTCCATCAACTTGCATATAATTATAGCCAATGCTCTCGCACTCTTTCAGATTATGCACAATTAAAATTTGTTATAATCGTATGCTCATGAACACATTTAACACATCTTGCTGATGAAAAAAGAAAAAGACTTAAATTACCTCAAATGTTGTATCCCAAGTTGACCACGAATTTTATTCTAAAATGTTAGAATCCGAATTCCTAGAAAGACAATCCTCCGCATAAAGCAATTCAGACAATAAATTATTAATGAAACTCAATGGAACCCTTGAATGAATAATAATTGAAGTTAAAGCTGATAGAAGCATAGAAGGGATATTTTTATATTGATTCATTCGTGGACATGTTTCATCAAAAATTGCTTAAATGCATATCATATTATATAGATTAGGAATTTTTCATTGAAACACATGGAAGTTATAGATTATTAAAAAAAATGCAAATGGTACATCTGTTTCCACATAAAAATGGTACAGCTGAATGATACATACAAATCTTACCATTATTATGTCGAAATGATTGGGCAAGCAGAGAAGAAATATAAATATAAACCACTGTAAGATACTTACAAAGTTCATGGTTACAAATGCGTCTTAAAGTGTAGATTTATGGAATTGTTTTGACCGTTCGATTTATTGTAGAAATGATGTTAAATAAATGAATAAGTCCAAATCTGATTCCACATTTACACAACCAATTGCGTTAATAATACACGTTTACATGCTGTTTTATACAGAAAAAATAGAATATATTACATAACAAATAATCTTTTTGTACCATTTCTTACTTTATTCTAGTAGGTGATAGCACATAAAATTCACAGAAAATGCTTCCTTAAAAATAGATGTTATTCCTTTTGTTGATATCGGTGTACAGTATGAAACAGTAAATATTTAGAATTAATGTGAGAGAGAGATGCACTGTATATTGTACAAGTTGTGTCAGATTCAGGAAACTTTACATAACATAAACTTTCTCTATTTTTTTGTATGGAAAGACTTCTTTGGTTTTTGGACAAATCACAGTACCATTGTTTTCTTGAGCCATCTTTTCCAATGCCTAGAATAAATTACAGCGAAGTAATTTATCAAATTATACTCGAATAGCTTTGGCTGTGAGAAACAAATTTTGTTGACTTACTTGTTCTCCATATACATATCCATTTGGCATCATCATTGGTTGATTGTACTCATTTAGTGGTTTGCCACTGATACTGCAAACAAGTCTGGACTGTGAACAGTGAGCAAATGGCAATGGAGCAGCTAATTCATTAAGAGCTTCATTGCATACTGGACAATTTGTGTTTCTGCCCTCTTTGTTTGCACTATAACACTGAGATGTTTTTAATGCTGATAAACCTGCTTGTAGGGCTACTGTAAAGACACTCTGACTTGCTAATTGGAAAAGTCTATAATTTTCGTGTCTAAACTGCTCGATCAACCTATCCCATCTGCAAATATAATAATATTATCGAAACTGCAATATATGACTATTACATTTCCAATCAAAAAGTAAGCATGGCTGTTGAAAACTTTTGTTAAATTACTACACAAAGATGAATGAAGCTAATATATACCTTTTCTCGTCTAACAGATCTTTATATGGACTGAGGGAGGTATTAGCTGGAAATGCTAACTGACCCATGCAGCACTGAATCTCTTGTAACTGATAATCATCATAGTTAGCAAAACATTTTCTTGCGTGTTTAACAGCATCAAGTCTTCTATCTGCTCTGACTAACTCTATAAACTCTTGTACACGTAAATTAAATTCCATGGTACTTCCTAATTTTCTTAATTTAGACCGATTATCATGGCACCATCCTAAGCATCTTGCTGTCTCATGGTTTGCTAATGATTTCTCAACCTCTCTTGATACCATAAAAACATCTAAAAATATAAAAGAAAATTATCTACATGCCATCAAGAGAATCAATAATGTATGTACCTATGTTTGTTAAGTCTCTAAGTTCGCTGCTATCTGCTAATTTTGTTGCAGTTTTATAGTAACCCTTACGAAGAAAATATTCTATCAACATTCTATCAAGTCTCTGCCTTCGCCATTGGTTTACTACACTGGGTGCTGTATTAGCATGTTCTTTCAAGTGATCTAATCGTCTTTTGCACACCATTCCTGCTTGTAGCTCTTCTGCAATAGACTCCTCTGCCTTCCTCTTTAAAACTTGAAGTTTAGCTACAACTCCTCCTAATAATCTACTTATTTCACCTGCAGGAACACCTGTTCCATCATTCTTTAATAGTTCATTAGCAGCTGCTAATACATGAGAACCTTCCCTATCTAAGGTTTTCTGAGCTGAACGAAATTTCTTATTGAGTAGTTCATAAGGAACCTAAAAGTAAAATAGCATGTTAAATTATTTCATGATATTACACTATAATGTTTAGATTACTATTAGATTATTATTAGATATAAATGTTTATGCAAAATCATATTTGTATGAGCTAATTTGTGAACACAAAAATAAAATAAAATAAAGAATTGCTTGTCAGTGAGTAGGATCACTTGGTGAAAAAAGAAATAAAATCTATGTTCAATTTTATTAGTTTTTCTTTTATTGTATTTTGTTTAGTTGCGTCTACCATAAAAGCATAAAATCCACATTCTAATAATTAAAAGTAATGTCCTGGCTGAAATTACGACCAAAGCTAAGTAGTCTCGTGGAATGAAAAGATTTTAAATATGATCAGACAAAAACTAGATACCTTTAACGTTGGATGTTCAAGGCTTTTAACGTCTGACATATTGGTTATGCTCAAACTAAATACGTACAAAATTGTATTTAAAAATCGAAGTAGAATTACGTCTATTATATTGTAACTAATATACTTTGCAGTTACGTGTCATAGTCGTCCATCTCCTTTCATCTAATGATCGCATAAGTATACAAGGACAGCGAGCAGAATGATTTTGACACACGACTGTCTTCAGAAATCGTAAAAGCTGTTGTTCTCTTTTAACAAAGACAATCAGCAGTTTGTTTACGCATGATGAGAACGTAGTGTTATAATGGAAATCTAGATGGCTCTATTAACGAAAGAAATAAGGGATGATCCTCAGGTTGAATCATATGATTCAGCGATTCTTTAACAACCAAAAAATCGATTGTTGCTATCCTAAAGTGAAATATGTGTGATAACGATTCATAATATTAAAAAAAAACTAAGAAATGTATATTGTTTATGTTATTAAGATATTTGATTTCAAAGTAGTGATTTTATTTCAGATAGGCGTCGCATCTTATTCTCCTGCCAATGATATTTGACGCTTTTGATTGGTCACTGAAATGGATTAATTTTCAGCTTCGACCAATCGCAAAATTTGAACGTGTAACTGAAGTGTAACGTAGCTGAATAGAAAACGTTAATAACGTACGCGTGGTCGAATGTTTTGGAAATGTATGTGCATGTGCATGTGCATGTTCCCTTGTAAACATCAACAAACTTTCATGAAAGTTATATTATTATCAGTCTTTTCTCTATAATGCCCAATTTTCTGTAAACAATAGAAAATGCTCATGTATCACACGTGCAAAGTCGTTTTAATAAAAAAAAACAAAATGAAGGAATTTCAATTCAATAATCTGCTGGCGGTTAAATGTAATTTCTACACTTGTTGATTTTAAATAGTAATTAAATATAAGATTTGAATATATTCTGACGGACACAAAACTATGTAAATATATTTCTAAACTTTAAACGCTCTGACCCTACAGACAGTTAGGGTGGAAGGAACAATTTAATCTCACAAAACTGTTTAATACATTTAAACATTGTACAAGCAATATTTCAAATTTATTTCAAAATGATGACATGAGAAATGTCGGGAATTAAGGGAGTTCAAACATAGTATTATTCGAAAATCTAAGAAAAATTTGACCGCTATTTAACCGTTCGGCAGTACCGAATCGGAAGGAATCGGTTAACTTCGGGCTTGTTCGGCCGGTGACGGAGAGTATCGGTGGCGCGCGCGAGTCACTCGTATGGCCGGGGGCCGCCATTTTCCTCCAGTGAGGGAGAGAGTCGCGAGCGTAGTTCCGCGCATTGTCGACCAATTTTTTCGTCGAATCGAGGGATTTTCGCGAACAACTGGGGCGTCGGGCGGGCGCGCGTCACCCCAGTGCCCGTATCCGAGCGAGTATCGTTCCACGGGAGGCTTGAGGTCACCCGTGGACGCCGGAAGAACCCGTACGTGTGAATCGGAATCGCAGTCGAGGCGCCGCGCGTATAGTCCCGATAAAGATACACCGTAAGAACGCCGTGTGAGAGAGAGAGAGTGAATACAGTTTGGTGTACGCAGTGTAGCCGGTGAAAAATACTCGAGTACCACCCGGGAGTACTGGTGGGCCCGAGGAATACAGGGAGAATCGCCTCCGACAGGTTAGTGAGCGGCCCCGTCGCCACGGCTCCAGTTTTTCTCGCGTAGGATTGTCGCGCCGCCGAGAACTCAGTGTACGCCGTGTGCGTCGCTCGCGCGGCCCCTGCTGTGTGCACGGTGCATGCGTGCACACACGCACCGGAGAAAATTCCGCGGGTTCGTGCCTGTGTGTATTTGTATATATATTGATATGTATATATACGCTCCTACTCTATGTCGTGTGCGCTTATATACCAGCGTGTACCGTGCATACGTTAGTTCTTCATTTCAACCACAGAGTATTCGTACAGAGACTGAAACTTCTGCCGGAACCTTTGAAGTTGAAGGCTCCAGATTCGGGACCTTGGGGGTACTACTTATGGCCAGCGTTGCCGATTCTTTGCAGAAATACATCTCCATCACTTTCTATCGGTCGGTGGAGAAAAAAAGACGGGAATACCGAGTACGCGATGAATTGAAAACGTTTGAAAGAATGGAAAGCGCGGCAATATTCAACGTGCATTAACGTAATTGGACTGTAGATTATATGGATTTATAACTATACGATTCTGTGAACCAGAGTGCAATTGAAATTTTCATCGAGGTGAATCAGTTTTTGATTATACTTTTAATTCAGTAAGGTTCTATAGAAAAGAGATATACTTTTTTTCGTATCCTCGCTCCAATCGTGACATAAAGTGATTCGTTTCTAGCAGTTTGTTACTACGTGAACGTAGTTGAAGATTGAGGTTCAAATAAGCAAAGTACACATGATCACATAAATTTCATTTTATATGAAAAATTATTTTCGTTACAATATACCAAATGTTATTATTTTCATATTTACATTAATATAGAGCTGCATATCATAGATGATATTGATTGCTATGTGACAATTAAGATTTGTAAGTCAAAATCAGAACACAAACCATTCTTTTATTTCACGTTGACTACATCATATTTCAATTTTATTACAATTCTCAGTAACAAAAGCAAAAAGACATTGTTGTTTTAAATTTTGCTCGGATTTAAGCTATTCGGGATATAGGTTCAACGTTACATGATAGAAACTGGAGTTGATTAGTGTAGCCTCCTACAGGCTCACGTGTTACTTTATTTTTGAATTTCGTACTTCATGTGACTATTGATATTGTGATATTCTCTGAAGACACGTTCACGATGGTATTACTTAGATGCGCATGCGCATGGGAAATTGGTTTCGGAAAAAAGGGCTACTTTCGCATCTGTATGATTACTGTGTGGTACGTTGCATACATAAGCTTCTCGTTTAACCGTTTCACGTCTCTGTGTGCAAGTGTATGACACTTGATGCGCAAGTATGCTAACTAGTGCGATATGGCGGGAGATGCCGCACCAGCACGGAACCACGCGCCTTTCTTTTTATTCGGACCCTTCGCCTCACTCGCCACTGGTCCGTTTATCGTATCCTCTCCCGCACCCCTAACACTACTTTCCAAGTCGCCGAAAAACTTATCGTCGAATTTCGATGTATATGTTACAGAACCCGATTTACATCGGCTGTTCGAATACTGATCTCCCTTCCAGTGAACTGTGAAATAATATCACGACGTTGACCTTCAGCAACATCTTCAATCTTTTCCATGAAAATGGTCTCTCATGCACGCACTCTTCGCATTTCTCACGACCTGCTTGCCTGTGTGGATCAAAGCGTGTAAAAAAAAGTACTCCGCATAATTTACAAGCTCGTTATAATATATTTACGTTCAAGTAGAATTACAATGAATAATTGGGGGAATTACAGTCACGGTCGTAAAAAAATACTAACAAACATAATTTGACAGAAAAGAAATAGATTTTGAGACACTAATAAGAGCACATGTAAAAATAACATAGTTTATATTTCTTTAATAATAATAAGAGTGAGTATAAAGAGTTGTTTTAATAAGCAGGGGTCTAAATACAACTATACATCGCTGTGTTATTATATCAGAAAAGATTTAAATTTCTTTTTCTAGCTATAAACAAATATCTGTCACAGACAATTAGTGAGCTTCTCAAAGGCAACCAATTGATCTGAAAGGTTATTTATAGTATGGCATAAAGTTATGTACGTACATAACGTATAAATTGTAAACTTCTTTTTACCGCGCACTGATTATCCCTCGAATGCTAAGATTGTTATGAGAAATTGGTAGATGGCAGCACTCGGCACTGAGCTTTGATATTTTATTATTTACACGAGAAGAAATCAGTTTGTTGAGTTTCCAATCATCCTCCGGTATGCGTACACTCGCGCGCATTTCGACGTTGCGATTTAGCTCGCGTGATTTCCTTTTACGTTTTGATAAATCAAACATAACTGGAAATATTTGATTTACCGCCGGGCGAGGGGGGGCGGAATAGCGAAGTGTGCTTGGTACAGTATGAGCCTCGATGTAAATCATATATTATTTCGGTAGGTGTACGTGTCGTGCGACTGACCGCCATTTGGATAGACGCTTCTAGAATATCGGTCATTTCTATCTGGCCTCTCATCTGTCGACAGACTAACTTCTTCGATATCGGTTTTCGCGATATATGTACACCAATTAACGCACGAGATGCCTTCACACGGCGGTCCCGTCACGATCATAGGGAAATCCTTTTACAGCAACCACACGTGCAATTCAAAGGTGCGTTTACTTGTCCCGTAGTAAATTATTACGTGGGTATTAGTCTTAAAAGGTGGGGAACGTGAGCTTCACGAAAACGACTATTCGTGTTTGCGAGGCTATGGGGCCCAGTGGTTCTCAACTTCTATAATCGACCACCAATTATCCCACCGTGCGAATCTCTAGTATATCTTTATATTCAATTTCTTTCCACTTTATGCTTATTTCTGTTATTACCTAAGATATAATTAGACAGTTGATTTTATACTTGTATTAGACATGCAAAGATTCAAAGCACAACAAAACGAATAGTTTTTTTTTTTTTACTTTACATTCGATAGAATCACCAACAGAGGAAACTTTGTCGATATAACATAAAAATTTGAGTTTATGTAAACATCCGTAGGTTAAGTATAATAGGAAGTATTAATTCCAAGTGATCGCCGATGATACAGCCGTTTGCGCAACCGAACCGGCATAAATCATCGGAATGGTGTGTACAGTAATTATCGATTTGCCAGTGATAATTAAAAATTATAACAAGAGTATTTTTACATAACTTTGACATTAGCGATACCTGAATGGCCGCGTATACATATAGGTCTCGGTTTCCACGAGTTCGATATTCTTTTGCCGGGCTCGGTTAACAAGCTTCCGTTGGAGACGATAAAGCATGCTAACGACCCACTAATCTGAACTACAACAGGGTTCAAACGACTGTGAAATATTAGTGACCAAAACACATATCCGCTAGTGATGGCTTCGAATGGCCAAGTTCCTAGGGACTTTATCATAGTGGCTCATATGGTGTCACGCGTGAAATTTTCGAATCGAACGCAGGCTCGATGGTTAGGCGAGATAAGGCTCTAAAGGACATCGGCGCCGAGCGGAATGTGTCGGATTGCGTAACTTTCGCCGAATTTAAGGCGAATATGGAACGAGCGTCGTCGCCTTTCGCGCACACGTTTCCTTTATTTCGTTCCGGCAGCGGTGTACGCGCGACCACATGCACACGTCACTTACTTATTCATCGTTGATTGTGTCGGTATTTAAACGAGCTCCCGTTCTGGCCTTACATAATTTGCTGAACGCGGAGAGTAGCGGTGTATATACGCGCTCGGTTGCTTATTCAGCGATGTTGTGACCTGTATTCACGTTCGCGACACTACTTCTCTGTTTCTTTTTAACTAGAAATCCACTCACCAGCCGGCCGGCCGACCTGTGCCTGCTGCTGCTGCCTGCCGGGTGGACACCCGGTGTTGTATGCGCCGGAACGTCCTGTATATTTACGTTTTCCTCGTTGGCGCCGCGTAAATCCATCTCCCGCGGCCCGTATACGTATACCTACCCGGAGAAAGGAAGCGAGCAGACGTGTGTGCTCTATCCTTCGAGAAAGTTAAATCGTTCGGTTTGACGAAGGAGGTCGTCTCACGCTACTGTCACTGACCAGTGGAGTTTTTTTTTCCTCGCATTTCTTTTTTGGCCCCCTCTGTTTGGGAGAATATCTCTTCGTTCGCCGACCTAGCCCCCCTCTCTCCATAGGCTGATTGATCATGTCTCGGAACGCAAACGTCACGGTGGCGTTTTCAAGGGGACCGTATGATGCGCGTTCTGTTGCATCGGTTTCGATGAAACTTTGTAGGAAGTATGGAATAAATTGTAAATCATGTTAGATATCCGTGGGTGCACACTCGATAGATTCATGAGATAGGGTAATAGGTGAGATTGTTTAACACTTTGAGTTAAAACTCACTCTCTCTTTCTGTCCATTATTGTTCGACGGAATTTTATCAGAAATTTTGTTAGCGGTGGTTAGTTACGTTGACGCACTGTCATCTCTAGTCTAGTTAACCGTTGAGTCGTGTGTAACGCCGTAATCAGGTCAAGTAATCTTGAGTCGCGATAGGCAACGTATTAACTAGAATTTTCGTGTGCCGAGAAGATTCCGGGCCGTGTTATCAGTGATTCATGGTCTATGCGGAACGACGAGGTCGCCCGGAGGGATCTGTTATTGTTTGTCGAGTATTCGTTTCGCACGTAAAAGATACGACGCGGTGCCCGATGATTGTTTATCGTCGTTAAAGCACATCCTGTGTCGCCGCCTAAACTCGGTGGCCGACCGTCGTTTCAAAAAATGTAGCAGCGATGGCGGCCACGGGCGGCTTCATCGCGAAAGTATGTACCCAGCCGTGTATACCTATTAATCACAGCAAACTCGACGATCGAGATAAGAGCGCTCGCGCGCGCGTGCACAGCTTGGAGCGTTCGCAGAACACGCTTGATTATATTTTCCCTTTACCGGACGTAAATGCGCCGAGCGAAATTGATTCGTTATACAACTTGCATAAGTGTTCTGGGATGTGATATAGATGTGCTCGGTATCTGCTTAT